CATTTAAGTATAAAAGAAAAAAAGAAACTACAGTAGCTAAGAGCTATCCAGGAGGATTATATTGTTGACACTTGAGTAATTAGATTTCGGGGCTACAAAAAGAAAGAAGGCAGAACAAAGAAATATGGAAAGGTTCATGTGAAATGCTAAGAGTTTATTAAAATTATTGAAAGGGATTCATCCGCAGACCCAAAGGTCTCAAAGAAACCTTAGCAGTTGTGCTTACAGAAATTTTCTTTCTTTCTTTCTTTCTTTCTTTCTTTCTTTCTTTCTTTCTTTCTTTCTTTCTCCCTTCCTTTCTCCCTTCCTCCCTCCCTCCCTCCCTCTCTTCCTTCCTTCCTTCCTTCCTTCCTTCCTTCCTTCCTTCCTTCCTTCCTTTTGGGTTTGTTGTTGTTGTTGTCGCTTGATCTACCTAGTGAGTGGGCCAGCCCCAACTCTTTCTCTTTCTCTAAAACAACAACAGCCTTGTGGAGACAGTCTGGTAGATAGGTAGAGCCATCTCCCACGCTGGCATCTCGTGGGTGGCAGGTATTGTGTTTATGGCTGGCTGTTTCTAGCTGGGGTATGCCCATGGCCTCTGGCTGCTTCCCACTGTGGAGCACTTGGCTTCAGGCTGCGGACCATGGCGGTCTGAGCTAAGCAGAGCTGCCCCCACTTAGATGGTCGGCCTGCGCAGCCGGATTTATTAGTTATTAACAGTAACACCAGTACAACAGTGACCAAATGTTACAGGGGAAACCATCACTGTTGAATTCAAGGTCCCCTCTGTGAGATGGAAACCATATCTGACACTGCTAAAGCAGTTTATCATTCTTCTGAAAGACCCTAACAGTAAATGACTCCAAATGACATATTTCTATGACTGTAGAGTAGCGCCTCACTCAGTTCTCATCAGAGAAGCTTCTTGCTATCAACGGTAACTAACGCAGAGACCCACAAGTGGACCATGTACCCAGAGAGAGGCTTTGGAGCCTCTTAAATGAGATGGCTTTATCACACTTTTCCCCTGAAGGCTCAGGGATCTATGCCGAACAGGAGGCAGAAGGATAGTAAGACGCAGAGGTGATACATGACTCCAGGAGAATAGCAAGGTCCAAACACAACAGGATTGACACACTTACGAGCTCACGGAGTTGTGATACATGCACAGACCTACACAGGTTCAGAGCAGACAAAATTCCAGGACAGAGAAGAGAAGTGGACATACAGTTCCATCCATAACCAAGGAGCTATTTGCAATGGATACTTACAAGGAAATGGAAAGTTAGTTTTCTTCAATGAAGTATCAGTAGGAATAGCAACCATACTCCCAGGCAAATCCTACCCCAGGAGTAGTTGACCAACACAAAATGGACTCTGTGTGTGTGTGTGTGTGTGTGTGTGTGTGTGTGTGTGTGTGTGTGTGAATATGTATAAGTGAGTATATGAGCACGGGTATACGAGTATGTGTATGTGTGTAAGTGTGAGTGTATATATGTATGTGTTGGTATGTGTATATGTATATGTTATTGTGTGTACATGTGAGTGTATATGTATGTATGTTATGTAGTATGTGTATGTATGTGTATGAATGTGAGTGTCTGAGTGTGGGCGTATATCAATGTGAATTTTTGAATGTGTATATGTGAGTGTATGAATGTGTATGTAAGGATGAGTGTGTGTGTGTGTGTGTGTGTGTTCAGTAGTAATTCAGAAGTAGAAAAAGGTGTGACAAAATAAGACCGAGAAGGTTGAGAGGAAGCAAATAGCCTTCAAGAAACAAACAGGTTTCTTAGAGTCCAACTCCATTCAATTAAGAACCACAGTGAGCAAATGTGCAAAAGTCCACAGCTTCTTTGGCAGCAGAAGCCGGAGAGTACAGTCCCATGGGGCTCTTCCTGAGAAGAAAGAAGTTAGCAAGTGGATGGAGATGAGAAAGGACACACAAACGTCCCTCAAGGAAGAGAAAGAATCCTCCCCTGTGCCACCACAGTGCAGCACTGTGGAGAGGGCAGGCAGGGAACAGTCACCTTCCTTTCTCAGCACACATAAGCACACACAAAGCCACCATACACAGCAAAGCACATATAGCTCACATACACACACAAAAGCCTGGGGAAGACAAAGCAACAGTACGTTGGCTGAATGAGGTATAACTACCAATTTAAAACACGAAAGAGGGCCTGTGAGATGAAACCTTGTGGCCGAAGGGTAGAACCCATCCTTACAGGTTATCCTTTGACAGACACACGTTTCCTGGCAATCGGGTCTAAACTTGGACTAGAAAGCAATGCATCCGACAGTAGTTGGGTCTGAGGACAGTGCTTAGGGATATTAGGAAACTACTGGAGAGTGTTTTCAATGGAGACTTTTCAGGTTGAAAACAGACATTTAAGTTTGTAAACTTACTGAGAGACACTAATGTTGGAGTTTGTTGTTATTAGGATGTATTTTAATCTCTCGAAGTAAAAAAGAAAAAAGAAATCTTTAGAGGATTCCACAGTTGGAAAAGGAGGAAAACAGAGGGTGGTGGCCTGCAGTGAAAGTGTTCTGCTCCAGTGTACGTGTGCTAAGTGCTACATGTGACATCAGCTACAGGTGAGTATTACTTCACCCAAAACTATAATTTGGAAAGGAAAATGGCTGCTCCACAGCCACGGCTAGTATTAGTATACAATGGCACTCCCCTGTCTCAGCATAGACTGTGGCACAAAGCTAGCATATGAAAGCTCAGTAGTTTGAAAAAAAAAAATTCCTGCCTGATTACAGTCAGGCCGTGGTGTGATCTGAAGTGATGAGTATACCAGTTAATTTCTGTCTTCAAACTCAGCTCACAGAACCACGGAACAGTGTAAACAACACAGCGTACGACCCGTGGCTGTAATTTTCTGATGTTCAGGTGTTCTGTCTCAAGGTAAATCGATGGATGGATGGCTTTTCTAATTAGTCCCTCACAATTACTTCAGTAATTAATCCACCAGCGCTTAAATGGAATGCCCACATAGCTCATTTTCTTTATGCAACATGAAATGAGTATTATTTGCCCCACCATGTAAGGATGCAATGCCCTAAAATCTCTCAGAAGAAAAGCATGCATGCAGGAAAACACACATGTGGTAGTCGGTATATGCTTGGCCCAGGGAGTGGCTCTACCAGGAGGTGTGGCCTTGACGAAGTAGGTGTGTCACTGTGGGCATGGGTTTTAAGACCCTCGTCCTAGCTGCCTGAAAGTGAGTCTTCTCCTAGTAGCCTTCAGATGAAGATGTAGTCCTCTCAACTCTGCCAGCATCATGCCTGCCTGGACACTGCCATGCTCCCACCTTGATGATAATGGACTGAACCTCTGAACCTGTGAGCCGGCCCCAGTTAAATGTTGTCCTTATAAGAGTTGCCTTGGGCATGGTGTCTGTTTGCAGCAGTAAAACCCTAACTAAGACAACACATCTAAGCAAACTGAGAGGAAAAGGATCAGGGTAGGCTGTGGAGGAAGGGACAGGAAAGGCAGCCACTGTAGAATCAAGCTCCCTCTGCATGCTAAGTTTTAATCTAAATTATGCCAGGAATTTCATAAACACAAAAGATTTCTTGACTGTTAAACTCACTTTTTTTTGACTATGAGAAAGTACTTCAATTACTGCCACTCTACACCAAATTGTGGAAGGGTTTCAAGTAACTGGAACAAGCGGGCCAGGGCAGGGATTGGTATAATCTCATTATCTGATTTCCTGATTGTGTTTCAGCAGAAATGCCTAGGCCCTGGACTTCTAGAAAGCACCACAACTTGCTGTTTCTTGCAGGAGAATCCAGCTACTTAATAACTACTGAACACATGTTGGTATAGCTGCTGCTGCTGCTGCTGCTGCTGCTGACTGTAGCTAGGTATCACAGTGTCATTTTGCAGTCAGTTTTCAGGATGTTCATCTCAACTGATGCAGAAGTGGAAAAGCAAAAAGAATATAAAACAAAGACCAGTGGCAATCTTCTGATGGCCATGAGACTTCTTCACTTGTCTTTGTCATGGACTTGCATACGATAGTTCTCTTGGGTTGGTGAAGGTCTTGATCCTGGGTCATGGTCTGGACTTTTAAATAACTCTTTGGCAATCAACTGTTTTATTGTCGTTTAAAAACTCTTAAAGGAGAAGCAGAAGGGCTGAAAGATGGCTCAGCGGTCCATCTTCCAGAGGTCCTGAGTTCAATTCCCAGCAACCACATGGTGGACCACCATCTGTAATAGGATCTGATGCCCTCTTCTGATGTGTCTGAAGACAGTAGTGACAACACACACACACACACACACTCACACACACACATATATAGATAGATAGATAGATAGATAGATAGATAGATAGATAGATAGATAGAGAGAGAGAGACAGAGAGAGACAGAGAGACACAGAGAGACACAGAGAAAGACAGAGACACACAGAGAGAAGCAGGAGTGATTAATTCTAATAACCAAGCCAATGTCCCTTTAAATGCCTCTTTAACACAGTAGCAGCCCAGTGTTGTTGGCTTTGGTGTGTGCAAATGAGCAAGGTTGCCTTTCATCCTGCTCATCACTTGGCAGTACTGGTACATTCTCTGCCTAGCAGAAGCAGTCACCTATTGTGTGAGGTTCACACTACAGACCAGACCTAACTGTGGCTTTGGAACTGAATTCTGCAACTCAAATAAAGCTTATTCATATTCTTCAGGAATTGTTATCACTGTACAAGCTCTGTACATGGGGATGGGGAGCCCCTGTAATCTGTGTTCATGAAATCCAGAGGGCACAGCTGTTAGGGAACCCCTGCTGAAACCATGCCACCTTGCTGTCACCAGGGAGCATTTCACTCTGGGCTGCTTTTAGAGTGGTGTTCATTGTCTCCTTACACACAACCATTTCTTTACAATAAAGTCCACAATCTCCATGAAAAGGAAAATAAGAACCACACACACATCACGCTTATGTTTCATTTACATGAGTGAGCACTGCTGTTGAAAGGTCCATCCTGTCATTTTAAACGTGCATCAAAATATCTGGAAGCTCCAACAAGACACCTTTATTAGTATGTGGGTTTATTGACATAATTGAACGTAACCATGTATAACATTTGTCCATTTCTCACCGAAAGATTTTCAGGGAGAGTGTTTTAAGTCCAGGGATTAAACATTTTTGGCGACAGTCCACAGTTGGGAAAGGCAGATGGTAAACATAACCAGTGGTCTTCTCCAGACTTCTAACAGGTCCCAGGTTTACACCACCGTGTAAATGAAACAGCTAAGAGATGCAACTGTGCTGTGCATGAAAAAACAATTGCAAGTTCTACAGGAGGTGCCAGATAGCCTGCAGGTTGAAAATTAGAGCGAACAGCCCCAGCTCCCCGTACCATACACTCTGGATCTAAAACGAGGCTGGCAGCAAACACAGAATGACAGTCTATTTCCTGTGGTTTATTAAGTTTCGTCCCTGCAGATAAGACTGCCAGAGAAGCAGCTGCGGCTTAAGTGGTCTGGACATTTTACTCATCCTGGACATAAACAAAGACCGGCTCATTTAGACCCTCAGGTCCTCAGCTGCTGGGAAGAGGCAGTCATGGCTCATGTACACTAAACATGAAGAATGATCAGACTGAAGGGCCCTGGACTGTCATGGACTCCCTGAGTCACTGAGACCCTCAGGGGCCTGAGGCCTGAAACAGAAGAGTCACTGTTAGCCATAGCACCTTGAACTGGCTGACCTGCACAGTACCCCACTGCTAATGGATCCTAACCACGACGACTGTACCACAGTGTACATCCTTTTAGTGAGTGTATGTGGACCACACACGAATTATTAATGTGAACCCAGCCACTGCATTTAACTATAAACATGGACTTCATAAATATCGGGGAAGAAAAGGATTCCAAATAGCTAAAAACACAACTAAACAAATACAGGAGGCTAATCCTAAATTAAAAATGAAACATAAAAAGAAAAGAAATGCTGCATCTGCTACTAAAAGATAGGATTTAATACCACAGTAAAACACTGGCTACTGGAAGAATCAATTTGTAAAATATATAATTATTTCACAGTGACAGTTGAGTGCTCATGATCTTCTGGGTTTAGTAGAAACACATATTTGCTACTTTGGGGTTTTTTTTCACATTTGTTTCCTACAATTTCTTCTCCTGTTCTATGTCTTATAAAGGACGACAGAGATGTGGTCAGAGATTACACGACTAACAGATAATCCCCCATTGCTTTGCTGTGTTGTGGTGAACTCAGAGCCTCACAAGCAAGCCCCACCCCTGAGCTTGCCCCTCCCCCCAAGCCTGACAATTACCTCATGCAACTAAGAAATAGATGCTGTCAAGAAGGGGGTTGGGGGGGACAGACGGACTGCTGAACTGTCGTGAGATGTAGGTCACATTCACACCCATCGAGACATGCTATCAGAAATGTGGTAAGTGAACTGGAAGGCTGTGGTGCCCTGGGGAGTCACGGGTTACACGCACACATACATATCCCGTTCTTTTTTTTTTTTCTTTTTAAAAAATCAAATCTGGCATTCAATTTTTCCACGTATATATTTTTTAAAAATAAAATTAAAACCACAGGCGCAAGCCTGGCGGAGAAGTATTAAATGCTGCCTTCTCCCGAGGACAGTATCAGTTAACCAAAGGTCAGCAAATGTCATCTCCCGAACTAGAGAAACAGTAGAAGGGGGTCCAGTCCAACCAAAAAGAGTCTTTGAGTTTATTGGTCAGTTTGTTAAACTCTCTTCATATTGTTGACACAGGTAGCTTTTCCTTGTTTAAGCCTTAAGGCTTCCGTGGTGCTCTACCAGGCGACAGAAAAGGGTTCCCGGGTGAGAGTGGGACCTGTTTACCCGGCCCATCTTGGCAGAGCCCACCAAATCAGTGGGGTCAGTTACTGTTCCCCCTTTGTGATGGTGGTAAGTCCCCGTTTTCTTAACTAGAAACAGAACTCAGTTTACCATAGAGCAAACAAATCTTCTGGTCACGCTGGGAGCATAAAGCACCCTTTTCTAGCTCAGTCAGCTACTGTGCTGAAATGTCACAGGAGCATGCGCTAAGTGTGTGAAGGCTTCCCACTTTTACGCCACTATTCATTTGTCCCCACTTTTGGGTTAGACCACCAAGAACCATCCATTTGCTTTGTGAGTACTGGGACATGACGGACAGCATCTAGATTCACTGTCAGTACCACTTAGCTTCAGCAAATGCAGTTAAGGGAGAAAGAACGGGTCTAATAAAACTAGTTCTTCCTCTGAGAAGGCATGGGACCACGGAGAGTGGCTCCTCAAGGCCTGTGAGATCCCGGAAGCACTGCCTAGTCAGCAAATCTTTGCAAGAGGTGGTCCTCTCGCCTCAAGCTGCCACCGGTCCCACCACCGGAGCTGTCCATGAAGCGGTCGCAGGGGAACTCAATGAGGTCCGCCTCGCTGAGCGCGCACACGGTGGTGCGGGGACGGTGAGACTGGAAGCCGGAGAAGTCCGCGGACACACCAGTGCCCATGGAACGCAGTGGCCGTCGGGTGGAGTACATGTGGCGAACGTGGACCGGGGCCCCTCCCTTCCGCCTGGCACGCAGCTTCCTCCGAAGCCATCGCGATCCCCAGGCGGCCAGGGCCAGGAGCACCAGCAGCGCGTTGACAGCCAGCAAGACCAAGGTCAGGAGCTGGTAGTCGACGCCGCCTCCACCTCCTGCCTCTGGCAGGGTTACCAATCCTGCGCAGTGGTCTCGGGGGGCCACGGGGCAAACGCGACCCCCGAGCACGCCCTCCACGCACACTAGGTAGGGGGTGTCTCCGCGCAGCTCGTGCAGCGTGGCCGAGTCGCTGCGCTCGGGCAGGTAGACGAAGCGCTGGAACTTGGGCTGCTGGCCAAAGCGGTCAAAAAGCAGGCGGAAGCGTGCGCCGCCCTGCGGCCGGGGACTGCGGTGCTCGCGAACCGCCCAGCGCACCGAGGCGCTGTTGGCGCTCACCGCCTCTACCGTCAGGTTGCACAAAATGAATTTATTGAAGTCACAGGGGTCAGACACCAGAGGTGCCAAGCTGAGCCCACTATCGGACTGGACTGTGCGATCTTGCTGCTCTGAGGCTAGGCGCTGCTTTGCTGCTCGCTGCCAGCTGTCTCTAGCAGATGGTGTCCCAGAGGCGGGCTCAGACGTCGGGGTGGGCTCCATCTGAGGGAGATTGGCTCGAGTGGGACGTCCTCGCTCCGGCTTCTCGTGCAGGTCCAAGGACTGTGGGGCAGAACCCGGAGCAGCAGCGGCAGAGGGGCCCTGATGCTGCAGGCCTGGACCCCGCCGGCTCAACCTTAATGCGCTGCGGTTGCCCACCAGCTCCTTGGCAGCCCCACCCCAGGCCACTCCTGGTAGAAGTCTCCCCCGCTGCTGGGGCTGGGGCTGGGGCTGGGGCTGGGGCTGGGGCTGGGGCTGGGGCTGGGGCTGGGGCTGGGGCTGGGGCTGGGACTGAGGCTGCAGTGGTAGCTCCTGCGAGAGACCTGCAGGGGGCGTCATCCCCTCCTCCGAGGCTGTAGGTAGCGGCCACTGCCTACTTCCTGCTGTAGGGGAAGGTGAGGGATCCACGCAAGACCCGTTCTGCAGCACTTGGTCATCCAGGTAATCCAGGTACTTGCCCCGCAGGGCCGGGGGGTGGCGACACTGCACGAAGACGGTTAGGAGGCGACCCTGAGAATGCCAGTTGCCCATCCAGCGTTTCAGACCCCGCAACCGGCAGTCGCACGTCCAACCGTTGCCGTCTAGATCTAACCGGTAGAGAGCTGGACTGGCGGCGAAGATGTCTCCAGAAAGGGCGCTGAGCGCGTTGTCGCGCAGGCTGAGCTCACGTAGCCGGCCCTGGTGGCCAAAGGTGGCGGGGTGCAGAGCAGAAAGCTCATTGTCACTCAGATCTAGTGCCTCCAAGCTGTGCAGAGGCTCCAACAGTGCCAGGGGGAGCTGGTTCAGCCGGTTGCCTTCCAGGCGCAGCTCCCGCAGGGCCTCCAGCCCCCAGAAGGCCTCTGGGGCGAGGTGCGTGAGCTGGTTGGCGCTGAGGGACAGCAGGCCTAGGCGTGGCAGGTGCTGGAAGACGCGGGGACCGAGGTGCTGCAGGCTGTTGGCAGAGAGGATAAGAGTAGAGAGGGAGCGCAGAGGGACAAAGGTGGCCGCGTGGCGCAGAGAGGGTTGCAGCTCGTTGGCAGAGAGATTGAGGAATCGAAGCTTACCCAGCTGGGTGAAGGCATTCTTGCCCAAAAATCGGATTCGGTTAGACTCCAGATGTAGGTAGAGCAGGTTGCCCAGGGGAGCGAAGACTGCGTCTGGCAGCGCTCCCAGCACGTTCCCGTCCAGCCGTAGCTTCACTAGACTCTCCAGGCCCTCGAAGGAGCCGCGGCTCAGGCGTCCAATCTCGTTACCATTGGCGTAAAGGATGCGCAACTTGCGCAGCGGGGCCAACGTGCCAGGAGCGAGCGCCTGCAAGAGGTTGTTCCCCAGGTACAGCTCCTCTAGTCGCGAGAGCTTCTCGAAGGTCTTGGGGTGGAGAGAGCGGATCTGGTTGTACTGCAGATCCAGCCGTCTGAGCTGCCCCAGGCGGTGGAAGTCGAAGGCGGTGATGTTGGTGATGAAGTTGCCGCCTAGGCTGTAGGTGAGCACGTCCTGAGGACTAGGCAGTGAGCTGGTCTTGGGTACTGCGCGAAGCCCCCTGTTGGTGCACAGGAGATGCTGGGGGTGCTGGCAGTCGCAGCGCTCGGGGCACACGGACTCGGCCCGTGGCGGGAACGCCAGGCAGCCGCACACCACGAGCCAGAAGCGCACGGCGCCCACACCCTCCATCGCCGCCCGCCCAGCGCGCTGCGGCCGGATCGTCCTCTGGGCCGGCCGGCTCTGTGTCTCCTCTGCATTCCCCTCGGCCGGGCCAGAGTCTCTAAAAAGGCCTCTTTCGGACTTCGCTGGTGCTCAGTCCAGCCCTTCCTCCGCCCTTTGTCCGGGTGGCTGGCTCGGGTCTCCGCAGGCCGAGCTCGTGGAGCCAAATCAGAAGGCTCTGGGCGCTCGGCGAGTCCCGGGTGCTACTTGTTGCATTTCTGCAGAAAGCTGTTTCTTCGCGTGAGCGTCGGGGGCGGGAGGAGCGAGCAAGAGTTGGTGCTTTTTGTTTGCTCTGGAGTCCGGAGAGCTGGATTCCCTGGCGCGGATTCTCCCCGCCAAGCGGATTCCCCCACTGCAGGCGGGATCCCTTCCAAGAGCTGCTGGGGTGCGGCTTGGCTGCGGAGCACTGACCGCTAGGCCCACGTCTCCGGCGCCTGCCTGCTCGCGATCTGGGGGTACTCGGAGCGCAGCCCGAGTGGGCAGCCTGGGGGCCGCGCAAGCAGCGTCCGGAAGGGACCCATGTCGGCGTGGAGCGAGCAAACCCGGCGGAAATTCGTTCTTCCCACACTCTGCCCCCCGGGGGATGCAGGCGGAGAAAGAGGAGACGGCGGAGGCAGGACAGACCCCGGCTGGGGGAGGAGGAAACACTAAGTGGCTCCGCGTCTGGTCAGCCCCAGCCCGGACGCCAAGTGAGAAAAGTAGGGATTAAAAACAGCTGTACGGGTCGGCGCGCAGGCTGGGGGCGGGGGTGGATTACCGGGTGAGCAAACGGGGATTGCAGACAGAGACCTTTTTATTTTAGGCCAGTTCGCCAGCGGCTTCGGAGCAGAGACAGCGCGCCTACGTTTTACCTACTCTTCCCGGTGCCACCCTGCGAGATGTTGAGACAACACGGAGTCCCCTGGCATTCTACTCCAAGTTTGGGGGAATACAAGATTGCCTGGCAAGGCTATCGGTGGACTGTTGACAGAAGACGCTAGTTCAGTCCTTTCAAAGTGTTTGAGTTTCTGGGTGTCCTTTTGCTAATGTCAAAGGAGAGGCGCCGCCCCCTTTAGGGTCCTAAACTGAATATTTGCCGGATCTCTCTCTGGGAAAAACTGTGAAGAAAGCTCAGAAGTGGAACTGTTCCGATGACTGCGTCGCGGCCAGATTTGGCGATTCAGCTAGATTAATTCTCCTGCAGTGTTAAAGCCCTCCCTCCCGTGCATGTATACAATAACCTGCACAGAGCCCTTGAAGATTGCTTCCTGGAGAGCCCTCCTACTTTGTGCCAGAGCTTGCAGCAATCTTGAACTTTTTCAGGCTCCGATGTGCTCAGGCTTTGATTTGTTGGGGAGAGGGTCGGATATTAACATTTATTATCAATACACAATAGTGCACCATTTTATCCCGGGTTCCCTTAGGGACAGTCCCTGATAAGAATGAAAACAAGCAAAGAGATAGCTGTTGCTTACTATTTGTTCATGCAAAGCAACGTTTTGAAAGTAGCCCTTTAGGATTTACCCTCTGCTAGCAGTGTGGAAACTTAGAGTACATATCCTGGTTTCAGGAGCCTGGCCGTCCTTATGGGAAGGGTGGCGCACTGACAGATCAAATGGGAAACTGAGCAAGGAAGAGGAGAAATGTGCAGATTCCAATAGTTTAGCCATTCCAGCATGTCTTGTTGAGCAGTTTTCCAAGGGGAACTATGGTGCTATGTGGTGAACCTGGCAGGGTGGTAAACGAAGACTTCATGGGTAAAAGCAGTGACCCCCGATTTTGGTGAGAGATGGGTTTTGGACTAAACCAGGTAAGTCAGTAGTGAAGTAGTTTGCCGTGATTTGCTTTGAGCTTCTAATAAAAGGCAATCATGGAGACGCAAGTGTTTGCGCTAATCAAAATGATACACTGAGTTTATTTTTCAGTTATTGTGACAACCCCCAAACTACTGACCCCTATGGGGGTAGCTGCAGGAAGGAGGGGGACCTGTCCATGGACAGACTTAGGTACCTTGCCAGCTCTGCTGATCTTGGCCAGTGACACTGTCCTTGCTGGGAGTGTGGATTATATGGAGTTCACAGAGGAAAACAGCCCCCAAGTGCTGCTGACGTGTAGGTTGAACTGTCCCCAGAGATGCCTGGGAAGGGCCTGCTTTCAAGTGCCACCTCCTACAGCAGATAAGTAGAGATCAGTTTGGTTTGGAAGGTGAGAGATGCCTGCTATGGAATAGGGAATAGAGGAAAGCAAATCTCACTGATTTGCCTGAGTCCCTATCATCCCTGGACCTTCTGCAGACATTCTCAGAGCTAGGATAAGCAAAGGGAAGGGTACCTCCACATGGTTCTGCAGAATCTCTGGACCACTTAACTTCCCTTACAGATACAGATACTTCTAAGTGAGACTGACAGAGTTGTCTGTTATCTAAATATAGTGCTCTCTCGAGTGCATGCTTGCACGTGTGTGCGCGCGTGCACACACACACACACACACACACACACCCACACAGAGTGCCCAATGTCAAATATTTCCACTGGGAGCTTGGATTGCCAGTGAAAAGGCACCACCCACAGCTTTGGGTCAAAGACAGTTTCTCTTCTAACACATTCTGTTTTCTTGACACAACCTATTTGCTACAGGTCGTCAACAAGATGGGTATCATGGAACATGTTTCGAGTTAGTAGGTACAGTTTCTGACGGTAGGTGTTGCTGGCGCCCTCAACCCAGCATCAGCACGGAAGAATACTTTGAAATCTACAGATAAAGGGGTAGCACAAAGCACTCAGATTCCTTCTCAAAAAACAAGTGTGCCTTCTTGAAGAGCATGTGGCTTGAGGTCAACTTGACAAGCAAGTGGTGTTTAAATAATCTGGAGGAAATTGATAAGACACTTCTATAATATGATATGCCCACGTGTTGGGTTTATTTTCTGATAACATTTCTCATTCAGGAACTACACTGATACACTTGAATTTGAATCTTAATCGCCACGACCACCACCCCCACTTCCATAGCAAAGAGTTGTAACCGCTCCAGACCTACATTTGCTTGGAGAACTTACTGCTACGGGAACACCAGGGAGAAGCAGCCTTAAGGACTCACTGGGAGTCAGAACTGATAAGATGCAGAGCTGGACCACAGGGTGGTCCCAGGTGATGGGGAGACTGCTGATCAAGCAGCCTTGATAGTACCCAATGATGAGAACTGAGAGGTGGAGCCCCGGGATGCTCCGGGGAACCTGCGCTGTGTTTCAGAGCCGAGGGTATTACCCACATGGAAGTGAGCAGCTGATGTTGGAAGAGAAGCCTAAAAACACGTGCAGTGCAGGGGTTCAGGAAGCTTCAACTCTACCTGTATCCTTGGTGTAGAAGTTGAGTTTTGGTTCTTCCTCCCTGCCCCGTGCTCCCAGAAATAAGACTCAGACTCAAAAATATATTTACAAATACCTTGGCTGTATAGTTGGGCCCTTCTCTGACTAGATCATAACCTAAAATAACACATTTATTTTAATCTACATTCTGCCACATGGCTGGCTACCTGTGCTCAGGTACCATGTGACTGTCTCCTCACATTTTCCCATGCAAACCTCCCATGCCTTGCTCTATCCCAGAATTCTTTCTGCCTCTGCATATTCCACCTCCTGTTTCCTGCCTAAGCCATAGGCCATCAAGTTTGTTATTGAGAAGTGCCACATACATCCACATACGGACAGACATATGATATATCCTCTACACCTCGGGATGACAGGTACTGGCTCAATTCTTGAGCAGTGTCATACAACACCAGCTCATGGGATGTCTTGAAACAGTTGTTCTTTTCATCTCCTGGAAAGATTTCACCAGGCAGTAGGCGTTACACTCTGTAGTAAAAGAAAGCTATACTTAAATAAATAAATAAAATAGGTCCTTGGTTTTGGTGATATGATTGGCAAGTGTGGCACAAACATCTGGACCAAGATATTCACCTGTGCAGCATACACTTAAGCACTGATGCTATTATCCAGTCAGCATCACCCATGGAGTAGGGTAAAAAATGGGCTCCTTCCCCATATCTCTTGTCTTAAAGGGCCATGTATCAGCTTTCTTCAGATAATGTCATTCCCACTAACAGCAGAATTTCATGTCACCACAGGGATACATGCCAAGAGCAATCTCGCTCAAGGCTTCTGGGACCCAGGAATTCACTATCTATTTTGTTGAGTCTTTGTAGGTCTTATCCAGTCATTCTCCCTTGAGCTGATCAGGCTGCGTGGTGTATAGTCCAGGTAGCCAAGAGAAGTCTAAGAGACTTTTCTTATGAAGCCAATCTTGAGACGGGGCTGGGGTTTCAAAATGGGATTCGCTCAAGAAAACACTGGAAACATGGTGGGTAAGAACTGTAAAGGGGACCTGGGGGCCTAGGGCGTCCTTTCACACTAATTCTAGGCTCTGCGAATATCAGAGAGGCCTGAAAGACCAAGGTGAAAATTTATAGGAGTTTAACAGAAAGCACTTTTTAGAATATGAGTTCTTTATTCTAATGTAGCTAGATAAGGCAGTCATGGCTGTCTCCATCCAAATAGCTGTCTCATAGCTATGAACTGTCTAGTAATTATAAACATTTTGTTAATGGCTGGATTCCAGCTTGATCAGGTTCTGGGAGAGTCAAGTACCGATTATGTTTCCATGTATAACTGACATAACCGCAGCTGGAGATCATGGAAGGAATGCTACTCAGAAGACGACCTGTGCATTGTGCACTTTGAAAACTTGCACTCAAAATCTCTGCCACCTTGGAAGGTGCTTCAGAGGACACAGCCAAAAGAGTTGGGACTGGTCCCACGGCACATACATATGCTACAGGGGTCCTCAGATGCTTCTTCCAGGCAAGGAATCTTCTTGGACTTGCCAGGAATATACACGGGTGTCTTCCCCAGAAACCTGTGGTCCCTTCAAACTTTCCATATAAAGATCTGAAGGAGTCTGGGGCTGCGTCTCCAGCAGCTGGACTGAGTT